GCTTATCTGCTGCTGCTCCCATGACGAGTTTGGTGATCCGATGTCGTTCGATGAGCTCAACAAGCCCTTTTGCAATATCATCCGTCTCAATCACCACCTTCTCCACTTTTCGCTGAGAGGATCAAAAGATGAGTTACAAATCATTATATAAATCAACAGATCCAGAAGGAAGGGGGATTCCTCCCCTTGAGATCTATAAAAGCTCAACAGTGCTAAAAGGGCAATGAACATGAAAGAAGCCATAGAATGAATCACCTTCAATTGTGAACTTATAGTGATGTAGTCATTTAAACTCTTATTCATCTTTTCTTTCTCCAACATCCTATAAGCATTAACTTGCTGTTGCTTGAGCGAGCTTGCAGGAAACTTGCCACCCACTGAAATCGAAGAAAATTTGAATTAGTTGCCTTTAAAGAAGTTCTAGTATCAGAACGACCGATAAAAGATAATGAATAGTAACTTCAAGAGAGAACTTAGATGGTAACAAAAAACTTGAAATAAAAAAGGATGTTTCTGATAATGAGATGGAGGCTAGTTATCGTTTAAAATGTCGAAACCAATCGCTACCGGTCAGACCTCTTGATTCTATCATTTACTATGTTGCACTCATTTAAGAATCGGGTTACTTTTAAGATTTTTCATCTGGATATCATGCTGATTATGGCAACCAGTAGTCAGAAACCCCTACAAAACCTAAATCATATACCGTACAGATGTTCTCATTTAAATTTCGAGCTCTCGTTTGAATTGCCATTCAGGTACTACCAGTGGTGGACTGTCCGTCCGAGTGATCACAAAACATAACCCTCTAAAGTTGTGATTTGTATATATGAACAAAGGTATAAAAGAAGAAGAAACCCAACCGATGTAGATCTTCGAAAAGAGTGGTCTTTGAACTCTAGCAAAAGATCCAGTTTTGGTAATTGGGCACAGACAATAGTAAATCAAGCATAACACACCAATCCAAGAATTGCAGAAAGGAGCCATCGGAAAAGAAAGCCGATTTCTGTGTTTACTAATGAGTCATAACAGGTGACAAAGAACTTCTCTTGTTTCCTGGAAGCTTTGACTTGATTAAGAAGGGATGGAGCAAACAGAGTCTTGGGGTTTCCATGATCTAATAGTGTACAGAAGCAGCTCAACGTGATTTTTCTTTGCTTCATATGTTGCCAGCATCGACCAGCTTCTACTGCAGATTTCGTAAGCAAAACTACGTGAATCGAAACCTAGAAACTCGAATGATTTCCGGATGACTGTACCATTTCAAAGGACCCATAAAAATGAAGCCTTTCCCCCCCCCCAAGAAGAAACCCTTCATCGAAGCGGGGAACAGCAAAGAAATCGTAACAGCAGGAATTCGGCATGGGAACTCACCGGACCCAAGATCTAGAGGAAGGAATCCTTTAAGAACACATAACATTGCAATGTAAAGTCAAGAATTAGCCCACATGCGAGGGGAAGAGAAGGGGCATACGCATGGGAATCAGCTGCGCCGGGGTGTGGACGTGGGCGAGGACGATGGGCTGGTCCCTCGAGGTGTTCTGAATCGCCCAGAAAAAGGCGGACTTCCCGGCCTTGTACTCCGCCGGCACCGCGACGTAAACCATGTCTTCCTCTTCCATCGCCGGCGCCTCCTCCTCGATCTCGCTCACGTTGCTGCTAAGTGCCCGGCCGTGGCTCGCCTCCATGGACTAATCTCTCAATCCAGGAGCTGACCGGGGTGCCACCGGACGCAAGAACTCTCTGCCGTCAGCAAAAGGCGGCTCCTTTTTGTATCTTTCGGAGCAAAGCATCAAAATCGAAGCAAAAAAGAGATCTTTTTCCTCGAGATCTCTCTCCTCTATGGAGTTATAGAAGCAAAGATCTCTCTTTTGCGTCGAAATTGGATGGTAGAAAGAAGCGATGAGACATAGGATGGATTGTACAAGCGGGCTTCTGATATGCCGGATGCCAGACAGGTTCGACGACCGAGAGCAAAGTCAACAGTCCTCGGGAGGGAGGGAATGCTGCTGTTTGCTCCCTGCACAGTTTGGAATCACAAAAAAGACCTTTTTCGGTTGTTCACGAAATATAATCCATAATATTGCCTGAATACAATCTTATTTCTTAGTTGATGTAATTTTATCTTGCAGTCACTTTTCCCACGTCATGTGGATGTATTAGTCGACTCGATACGGGTTGGTGTGCTCCCAATCAACACATGCCGCGTCAACTCAGCTAAAGTCAACGAATAGTTTCTATTTAGATTGAGAAAAAAATTCCATGATGACCGCTCCATTAGGGTTTCAACATTATAAAAGAAACTTCCTCGTCATTTCATCCTATGATGGCTTCCATTGCATTCTATGATCTCGATGTACGTCTTTTTCGATCAATATGATTATTTGAATAGATCATCTTCATAGTCACCTTGAATTCATTCGATGCTTGTCACCTCACGAGTTTATAATGCTTTTCGTACGAACAAAAAAAATCAAATTGACTCCCATCAATGATCTCATTCGGCCTTTATTAGTCTTTAGTTTGTAATTATCATGTTGTCCTTTTCTATTTGTTTTCTCAATTTTTTTATTGACCTATATGATGATTAAAATATTATTTATCTCTTTTTAGGTGTTTTATCATATAAAAAATAATAAGATGGTTTATAATATATGAGGGGAGGAAAGATTATCTTTTAAAAAATAATATATCAAATGACATACATACGAACTCGAACTAAAACATATTTGTGTAACATTACATTAATCAGATGTCCCGATAAATAAGAAGAAGAAAGGTTGCTAAGATAACGATTAGAAGAGAATGATGACTAGGTTATAATTTTAATATCGAATTAAAAGAAACAATGCAAAGAAAACATTTACTTCTTCTAATTGTATGGTCCTAAAGACCTATGGCTAGAAAAAATATATATATAATGCATAAAATAATCAAGAATTTTAGGCATGCCATTTCAAAGGCAATAAGAAACACAAATTTACAAGATATATTTGTGTGTAGCTTGTGAATGAGAAGTGGTCTCTTCAAGTATAATGGCATGAAACATTTGATACTGTTTTGTTTCCGGATTTCTCGATCTCGATGTGACAACATGACAAATTGAATTGAAGTATGATTTATATTGTTTATAATTTCACATGTTTCAAGTTGTTACTTAAAAATGTAGATTGTTAGCTTTATTAGCAAGTCAAGAGCCTAAAAGAGGATATATTGTGGATGGTTGTTTCCTTCGCACTTAAGTATGTCTATGATAAAGTAAAATAAAGGTTTTATACTCCCATTTAATCCCTTACTATCCTACCAAGATATCCCCAAATAGTACATGATGTCCATTTTATTGGAAAGATAAAATTATACAAATCATCCCAATTTAGTGGTTTCTGCATTTATTGTTCTAAATATAAATTTAACTCATTGGGGGTAGAGAATATATTAATAACTAATCATCATCAAACAAGATAATCGTTATATGAAAGTTATCATGAAAAAAAAAGCAAGTCATTCTCCATCCATCTGTTCGTGTGGACAAAAGTTCAAGATACATTATTTGGGACTATCTCCGTCATGTTATAAACAAAACGTCGAAAGGAGAACATTGGAGTGATTCTAAATTGTTTTCTCGAAGGTCAAGTATAAAAGCTAATCCCAACGCTACATTAAGAGGCTCTTTTTCAAGAAAAAAAAAAAACTCACACCCACTAAGAAACTCCAGTCACTAACTTAAGCATCGGAGGGATCGAGTTGAGATATTTTGTTTCGACATCAATTCTATTGTAGGTGATGCTTTTAGAGTTCGACACCTTTCCCTCAAAGACACCTTAGAGTTACCTTAGCCACTATCTTAAACACTACTTCACTCTCGAGTTTGGACCATATCGAATTGACTCAAACGTCGACGATAACTTTCCTTAATATTTGATAAATTTTTAAAGATAATAAAATCATTTTATCTTTTCGAGTGGTGCATGAATAATAAATTTTATATAATATTTAAAAAAATATTTTTTTTGACAAAAAAAGAAGAACATACCATCCCGAACCACCTCCCCTCGTAGGTAAGCAATCAATTTCCACGTTACGACCTGGGTTACGCGGTAAGCATGGTCACGAAGCAGTACTCCCATGGACGACAGAACCTTCGGTCTACCATGAAGAGAAAGAAGCGAGTCAATACACCGACAGCGTCGGCAGGAATCTTCAAGGTCGGCACATTACTTATTTTGATCGAGATCAAGGTTACCATTTGAGAGAGGCTCTTTGCAGAGCAATTAGACTTGGGGTCCAAGCCATTTCACAAGCCCAGTCAAATCATACGCGTACTGAATTCAATTCTTCCAACCCAACTAGATCTTAACAGAATAAGAAGCGGTACCTCTGCTATTTTGTCCGCTTCAGTTTAATCCGCGGATGACGTCGTCGTTCCCGTCCCCGTCCCCGTCGCCTGCAGTCAACGCGAAGACGGGTGAGACCGGCGGCAAACACGTGCTACAGGAGTCAACGTAGTGTCTGTTAATGCGAAGCCACAGTCGTCAAACAGAGTATCCATTCAAAGATGCTGCCGACGGCCACGAGTGGTGTGGCGCACGTAGTTTGACTCTTGACTCCCACGCACCTAATTTGTTTCTTGGATGAACCATAAGATGAAAAGTCCTTTGATACTCGAAATTGACCACAAAGCATCTTACGTTAGACTAATATGACATGCAATACGTTGAAAGAGCCATAGGGTGTAGATGTAAAACCAATCATTTCATGCTTTGACAGGAATCTATAAAGTTGTACCTTTTCGAGTGATGCTTCTGCATATGATTAAGATATAATGCAAGAATCTTTATATGCTATCCAACTTTGCGATAAATTAACATGTAATACTACCACTGGTCATTGCAAGACCAAAGAAAAAAACAGCATCATAGACTTGTTAGTTTCAGCCAACAGCAGAACATAAAGAACACTAACTAGTAGGCCAGGACTTATGTGTAATGGCACAAAAAATCTAGGCTACATTTTCCCAAGATTGATTAGGTTAGAAAAAGTTCATATAAAATCTAATGGAAGATCAGATTCTTGCAAAAAGTAGAGATCCAACCCCAAGTTCCCAAACAGGCCGATAAAACCACCTAATACACTCGGACTGGATTGTGTATCTACTTTGAAGCATTTATTTTCTTTAATTTCCTGCTGCAGATTCCTGATGATCTCCTTGCTGAGCAGTTACGGATCATATACATGATGGTTCCTTCACGATATGCTTTGCTCGGTGTGATAAGAGCTTGTTGCCGGCTAGTTCTGTCGCGAACACAAATTACCAGGGCTGATATCCTGTTCCTTTTGATGTACCACCAGTTCAACGCCAAACCATCAGTGACTCTCTGGTAACCTGTGGCAGGTGCATTGTAGTAAGAATATAAGATATTGTGTTCAACTATCCGAACCGTCTCAAATAATAAATCAATAAACTGACAAAAATGTAAAATTGTGCTATGGTAATTACAAGATCAAATTCGGTATCATGTCTATATTCAGCAATAGGGCATTAAAAAAATATCATATAGTTATTATTATTGACCCACTATTATAAGAATTTTCTAGATTAATAAAAACAAGGCGCAAGTCTTTCTTCTTTTAATAAACTAATAACTTCTATGATTGATCTCTCAATCGACAACCAAACTAATTGTTACAAATACCTTTCTTGTGTATTAGTCTTTGTTCAATCACTCTCCTCCAATAACCTTATAATTTGAGGAATATCGATATATTGGCATCAAAAGCTTCTCCTTTATTAGTCAGATTTTTTGTCTATTTTTTGAAAACTGTTTAGCCAATTAAGTACTAAGAGTTGCATAGAATATGAATCACTTGCCTTTATAGCATAGTTCTATTCAAAGGAAACTAGCAAAATCTTGATGCATCTAGTCATTATACCATCAAAAAATTTCTATGTAGAAGATAAAGAACTTCACTCGAGAAAAGCCAATGGAAGTGGAAGAAGCTTGAAAGGAAATAGATGATTGGGCATTTACTAAGGCTTTATGCAAATGCAAATTTCTTTGTTCTTACCTCCATGGGAATTCACTTGTGTCTATTCCTGCCTGATGTAGTTCATCAACATACTGCAATGCTTCTCTGCACTCTTCTCTGTCATCAAAAAATTCCTCCTTATCGCCTTCGATTTGATATGTTTCATGGCCTTTGCCTGCAACAACCTGAAGCCGATATCCATTTTTTGTCAGGTTTATATAAAATGTGGAACTAAAGTGATTAAATAAATCTTGGCAAAAGTATAGGATTATATGAACTTGGACAGGAGAACAGAAGCTGGTAATCTTTTTTTATTTGGTAAACTTGGAAAGGAGAAGCACAGGATTATATGAACTTACTACTACATCGCCTTCCTCACCCATTGCAACAGCTGCCCGCACTGCTACTCTTCTTATGTCATGCAAGAAGAGTCTGTGGCCATTTGGCAGTGGTGGATAATAATCATTTTCACCATGTTTCAAATAATCTTGCATGGTCCATCCAACACCAGCCAACATGTCATCTAAGATGTCCACTGGATAAAATGTAAAGCCATCTCAATATTAATATCAATCAGATCGGGAATCAAGACTCAAAACAATAATTCAAAGAAGTTCATCAAGAATATAAACATGGTTCACTGAAACCTCAGACATTTAGAGTAAAATACAGGGCACATACATGGATCTTCATTCCTTGGATTGTCAGATGTCAACATAACAACATCACTTTTATCAGTTGCAATCTTTGTCATCAAAGGTCTCTTGCCTCTCTCTCTTTCGCCTTCACATCCTAAGACTGTATATAGAATATCTGTCAGCAAAATGTTTTTGCTATCCAAGACTTTACTCTTCTATTTAGAATAGCAAAGTTAATTAAGGGCGGTCAAAATGGCTTGAAACTTACTTCAACTAAAATGTTATAAAATAAATGAATTCTGACTAGAAAAAAACACAATATTGTTCTTGCCAATGACCAATTTACATGATAATTTTCCTCTGTTTTCAGGTAGCAAGGAAAATAGGGGTCTGAATCCACCCAGTGAATCATACTAAAGGACTATCAAAGCAAGGTATCCATTTACTGAAGTTATTTAAGGTTAGCAATGAAACTAACAAAATTATATTACATTATGCTAGTTAAAAGCTCAATTAGAAAAAGGCCTACATCCAATATCAAAAGAGATTAGGGTAAATCATAGGAGAAGCTGAATACTTTGAACTGAAACTCCTGAGTCTTGTCTTTTTTCTTTTAATCAATGAAATAGTTCAACCTCTTACAATGTTAAATGGTTTTCACCGCAAGTATGAATACAGCCATTCAGATGAAAGCCCAAGCCTGTACACCACTTTAGAAGTAGCATTGACTTAGGCAATAGAAATTTGTAAATCAGCAAACCTGGTAGATGTGTTTTCTTAGGAAAGTATATAGTTGCAATTAATTGTAAATAACTGAATTATTCTTTGGTGCATTTGTCTTTGCATGTCTGATTCTCAATCTTCATTCTACATCTCTATAACAACTTCAAGAGTCAGGATAGATGAATTGTTTTAGCTCCTCCTACCGGTCCGATATTAGGCTTACTTTCTAAAAGAGTCCAAGAACAGAAATTTAAACTGTAATCTTTGAGCTATTCAGCAATAGTTTATGTAGTACAAGGCTTGAAAGTTATGCAGGGAATTATTATCACAACGAAGTGCATCATCGTGAAGTGAAAATACCAGTGATGTGGATCCAAAAGATTATATAAATCACATACCAGTGATTATTCTACGGGGGCCAAGTTCTCTGACAGTGTCCAGAAGTCTGGACAGAGCATCTGGTGTCTTTGAATGGTCAACAACTACGCCAAATGCTTGCTCCTCATCTATAAGCTCACACCTACCAGGAACTGCATCAACTTCCTCAATTCCTCTCACAATGTCCTCCAATGGTGCTCCTACTGCAATTCCAACTGAAACTGCAGCAAGAATGTTATAGATGTTGTCTCTCCCAAGCAACCCAGAAGAGATCTCCAATATCCCATGGGGTGTTTGAACCAAAACCTGTGTCTCAAACAATGAAAGCTCAAACTTCAAAACATGAACGTCAGCATTCTTGTTTTCCAGGGCATAAGTCACAACAGGAACAGCTGGGTTCCCCTGTGTCACAAAGAACGGTGCGTTTGGGTCATCAATATTCACAATTTTCCTATGGCGCTCTGGATCAACCATCATTGTGAACAATTTACCCTGAGCATTCCTATACTCTTCATCGGTTCCACTAAATTCAGGGTGGTCACTTGTCAAATTTGTGAAGACAGCAATATCAAAATCGATCTCATCATACCTTTGATGAGCTAAACCATCAGCAGAAGCCTCCATAACAACAGCCTCAGTCCCATTGTGCACCATCTTTGCCATCAGTTTTTGTGTGACTACCACATCGGTGGTTGTGTTGGGAGAATCCAACCTATTCTCACCATGAACATAGCACCCGAGTGTGCCCAACATCCCCGTCCTCAATCCCATGGCCTCATACATGGCCTTGACCAAGTGAGTCGTTGCGGTTATGCCACTTGTTCCTGTGACTCCAATCACTGACAAACTCTTTGAGGAGTGCATATAAAATGATGCAGCAAGGATGCGGAGTGCCAAACTGGTGTCCTCCACGATGACTAGAGCTTTACATCCTAATGTCTCTTCTATGTTGATCTCCTTATCGGCAACCAATGCAACTGCTCCTCGCTTATCAGCCTCAGTAAGGTAGTCATGTCCATCAATCTTGGACCCGTTGCAGCATACAAAGAGATCCCCTGCAGTGACTTCCCTCGAATCATGCTGGATGCCGGTGATTGAGACCTCCAAATCACCGTAGACTGAAACGGGCACCACTCGGCTCTCATCCAGGAGCTCGGCAAGGGTCATCTCGAACTTAGGCTCCAAGATTCGGGCAGGCGACCTCCCAAATGCATCTACATCAAGGTCAAACGAGGATTGCGACGCTGCCCCATTCGACCCTGGTTCAGCGGCCTCTTCATCAGGCGAATTGAAAGGGTTCCCTTCATTCGATTCCTCCTCCTCGCCGTTCGAGATGACAGTGAGGCCCTGGAGATCCTGGATCTCCTCAAGGTCAACGACCTCCTCAGGAGTCAGCTCGTCGATGCCTTCGAGACTCTCCTCCAAAGGAGGCTCCTTTTTGGGGGACTTCGACGGCAGGAGGCCTTGCTTGACAAACTCCTGGCGCTTGAGGGCGATGGCGCGGTCAATATCTCCGAATAGGTCGTTACCGGAGGAGGGGGAGGAGGGGTCGGCAGGGTCCTGGGGCGTTTCCTCCTCGGCGAGGGCCTGGAGGAAGAGAGGCTGGTCCTTCTTGAACTGCTCCTCCTGACGGCGGCGGGCACGGGCGACCTGGCGCTCGAACTGGTTGATGCGAGGCACGCCGTGGGAGGAGTCCTCGGGGGCCTCGGGAGGGTCGTCGTCGGAAGGCAGGGGGTTGAACTTGTTGCCACCACCGCCGACCGCAGCGAGCGGTGGAAGATCGCGGGGGCGGCGCAAGAGAGAGAGAAGGGGGACCCGGGGCTTAGAGGAGAGAAGCGTAGAAGGAAAGCAGTGGGGGAAGGAGAGGAGGGGGAGAGGGGGGAAGAGGAGAGACATGGGATTCCGCAAGGCCAAACCAAATGAGATAGAGAAGAAAGAGGTTTACGAGGTTTAGAAGGATGAGGATTGGTGGCATCGCCACGCACTACGGTGGTCCCTACTCCACGATATATATATATATATATATATATATATAGTTTCAAAGTTGGCAGTGGCGTTCCCCAGCGTACCGTTATGACACAGAAAACGGCAAAATATGATATATTCCACGTACAGTCTGATCTTTACCGCCAATCATATGGCAGGTAGGCTGCTTGGGACGTGACGGAAGGGTGAGAGTGTGACATCGAGAGTTCAGCTTACTCAGCTAAAATGGTTCCACCGGATCACTACACCGCGGACCGCGACGCCGTTACGCGCCTGCACATTTGAGAGAGAGTGAGATAGGGGGAGAGAAGGAGAGAGCGAGGGAGAGAGAGAGTCGTAATGGCAAGCGAGAGGCTGAGGGAAACCATAAGCCTGGGGAAGCGGAGGCCGGTAGAAGCGGGTAGCAGAGAAGAGGATGAAGCGGGGGTGGTGGAGAACGAGGAGGAAGATGAGAATAGGGATATCCAAGAGCTGGAGCGCGAGGTGAGCGAGATGGGCAGCAGGATCCTCGACGCTCGGCGGAGCATCCCCGACCGGCTTCTCGAAGCCCTCTCCTCCCGCCTCCTTACTCAGAGGCCGGTCCTTCCTCCACAAGCCCTAATCGGCGCTGATGCCGGCACCACCGGTACCTTTCTTGGGCATTTTCTTGTGTCATTTCTCCCCCTCGTTTCTTGCCCAAATCCAGGAACTAATCTCGGTTTACTTGGTAGATTTTTATGTCCGTGTATTGAAATATTTAGGTCTGGCGATTGAAGAATTTTTTGAGTAAGGATTTCTTTTTCCTTTTTCAATTTAATTTGTCAATGTGTTCCACGTTGTTTTCTAAAGAAGATCAAAGTGCTGTATTTTTTGTTCTATTTACTAAGAAGGCCACTTGGTAGTGCTCTTACTTTGAGCAGGTAAAGTATGTGAAACCCATGGGATTGTTGGAAATAATACGTGAAGTTTCCATCAATTTTAGGATCGAAGAGGATTGAATTATCATTTTCTTGTTAGGTGTGGAAATTGAGTTGAAATAGAAGTCAAGTAGGCTATGGCCATGTATGGGTTATGTCTTTGTAAATTGAGTGGTGGTGATGAATAAAAGTTAGAATTTCATTCTGTTTTATACTTCTTCTTTATTATCCCTTCTCTATGAACTATTGAAGATACCACCTTCCAAGTTATTTTTCTAACAGGTTTAATGAAAGATATCAATTCTTAATTTGATCAGTCATCTGCTAGGATCTATTTATTAAGCAGACTGACAAGTACATTGGTCTCTATTGCAAAAAAAAAAAAATACCACTTGGTTTTCTACTGAATCATAGTCCATTCTTGTACACCCTAAAGTGTGATAAGAAGAGGATTCTCACATAGCTTGTTGATAATTAAGCTCTCCATATGTTTAGTTTCATTTTCACCTGTCTTTTGGCATCACATGGTTGCATCTTTGATTTTATTAGATAAATCACAAAATGAAGTAAGCTTTTAGCTTGCTGCTTAAGTGTGGATTTGATGATTGTAGGTTATGCTTGTCAGTGATGGTGGTGGCCGAATGACGTGAATGATGATTGCCCTGTTGAAATATCCTCTCAAAATTTTTCTTGTGGAGTTAGATGAATCTAGGAACACTTATGAGATAATTGTGAAATCCATGCCCATATTGGGGGAGAAGTTTACTGTGATTCTGTCCGTAATAATTCAGATAAGGCAATTGTAATAAAGACTTCAACATGGACATCCAAGATAATACCCAGATCTGAAGAGTGCCAAAGGTTAGAGAGTTTGATATAGTATAACAGCAAATCAAGATTCCTTAAACAGAAATAGACATTGCTGGTAATCCAGAAAAGTTTCATTTTTTTGTTCCTTTGATGTTTGTGCTATGCATTAGCACATATTATCCTCATTTCTTATTACGCTTATGTGTGAATGTACATATGAGACTATATTGTGGATATCTCAGAGTTCATCATGTGAACACATAAGAGAGTAAACGGATCATAAGGCAAGGATTCAATAGGTCAAAACTGTTGAGATATAAGATATGACGACATGCGTTAAAAGGTGCTGAAGTGTTTATTCTGTAGCAAATAGATGTACTTTTTACTAGTTTATCTAATAGATAAGCAAACAAAAACAGATTATAAAATATTAGAGAGAAAGTAATTTGGCACTATGCAAGAGTAAAAAAGATATTGCACAATTCTTATTATGTATTTGTACTTATGCGACTTAGCTAACATCCAGCTAAAAGCTAGTGCAACCTAGAAGTGTTAACAATTTTTTTGACGTGCGATTGGTTTGTCTAGAAATGAAAAATGGATTGGCAGTCGAAATAGTAATGTTGAAATGTATGTGGTGTTGCAAATTTAGGTGCTGTACTTTGAACGCTGTCGTAAGACCTATTAGCCAAAACTTTTAAGTAGCCAAATTGCAGTTTGGCTCAACTTACATTTCCCTATATTTAAATATTTTCTCTTTTTTTAAGCAGAGAAAATCAGGAGCATGAAATGTAGCGTTAATGGTGTATGTGTTGGACAGAAGTACCAATTTGTGGAGTTGTAACAATATATAAAAGGAAGATATCAGCAAATAAAACTTGACCAGCAGTGTACATTACAGAACCAGGAAGTTAAGAAAAGCTGTTTAGGTGTTTTTTTTCATGTCTGATAATCTTGACTTGTGCAACTCAAGTTTCCAATAAGAATTGATTCTCTTCATCGTAACGGGTAACAAGCTGGATCTGGTCAAAGATGAGTAAAAACAGCCTAGTGTCCTAAACATGATTAAAGAGACAATTATGTGTAAGTTAGGAGAGGTGAGGCAATACAATTTTTAGGTGCCTTGAGAGGAGATGACTAATATGACTCATGTCAAAAATAGAATAAAGGATACTGTGATGGCTTTAGGATTTGCTGTGATCTTGTCCTTGTGGAGTTAAATGCTACAAAAGGATCCATGTACCAATCAAAATAGTTGGAGTGAGGAACTTTTTAGTTGTTATCATTTTTGTATCTGTTCATAGACCTAATGATGAATCCTAATCATGATTAAGATTGATCAAGATAATGCGAATGCTGATGGTCATCGATCAGATTGATGCTCAAAGAGTGATATTTATCATCTCTGTGCTCCTGTGGCCTTTGTCAGGTTTATGCTTTCTGTGGTCAGTAGTGTAAACTAGTTGAACTCTTCCAGTATGCTGTGCTCATGATTCATTATGACTATTTGTAGACTGGCGTCATGCAAACACAATTTAAGGAAAATCTGTTGATGGTAGTATTGCTAGTCCACTTTTCTCTAGTCTTGTCAGTTCTATTAGTTTCGAAGACAGTAATCTAAAATTAGTTGCATTTATCTTTTGTCATGTTACCTGCAGTAGTCGTTACCTTCAAGTTTTGCTCGAGTTATACTCATTCTTAGAACATATTAAAAATATATTAATTTTTATATAAAATATTTTTTAAAAAAATTAATTGTAAACTAGTTCAACTCTTCCATTATGCTCTGTGCTCATGATTCCTTATGGTTATTTGTAGACTGATGTGATGCAAACACAATTCAAGGAAAATTTGTTGATGATAGTATTGTTAGTCCACTTTTCTCTAACCTTGTCAGTTCTATTAGTTTCGAAGACAGCAATCTAAAATTAGTTGCATTTATCTTTTGTCATGTGCATATGATTGAATTTTATCACCAGTGTCAGTAACAAATATCTAACCTATATCATTTGTAGGAGAACTACAAGCCCCATCTTCTGAATCCAATGGGGGAAACATGCTTGCTAACGTTGATCAAAGATTGCTCGAGAAATTGCTTGTTCTCAGAGCCAAAACCGAAAGCAACATTTCTGCAGTCCCAGTAATTCTGAAGAGAATAAATGACTGCATTGTGAAGATTGAAGAACTGGAGAAGTGCCATGTAAACGTACATCCTGTTTTTAATAGAAAATGAACATTGTGAGGGTTTAGATTCTCGTGTGTTGAAAACTCCATGATGTGGATTTAGTGTGGCTGTGTCTCGACAGTTAGTACTACCTTGTTTACTGATGCAAAATATTTCTGTTCTTTGGTAATTTGTTTACGAAGAATGTAACCATGAGCCAATGTCAGAGATATTATATATATATATATATATATATATATATATATATATATATATATATATATATATATATATATATATATAATTTGGCATTAAATTAAGTGATTTGATTGAGTGTCGAATGACTGATGCAAGATATCTGGCTTAAGGAATGCATGATTGGATGCACCCCTCATGTCTTTACAGCTTTATCCTTTCCAAAGTTTGGAAATGACATATCTCAGAGCATACATACGCCTACAAATATGAAGATCTTTTACATACATCATACATCCTTTCTATCAACAATCGTAACTAATATTAATATGTTTGAGTTAAAAAATATATATAGGGTAATTTATCGAAAAAATTCGTAGTAATAGGTTTTGACTTGATGGTGCCCTTATGGTTAGTTTTTATCAGGGTTGTTCTTTTTTTTTAGTTTTGATCAAAATATCTTTAATAAAATAAAAAAATGATAATTGTCCTGTGAATAGGTTTGACTCGGTTCTTTGTTTTTTTTTCTAATGAATCGGATCAAATTGATTTTAATTAACTATTAATTATTTAATTTGGATTTTTTTTCAAATTATCCAATCTCTACTCTGCCTCCTCTTAATCATTCAATTTGATTTTATTTAGTTTAAGATTGTTCTTTCCATTTTCTAAAGCAAGGTTCGTTGTACCGTACCATACCGGTGTTTCGACCCGGGCTCGTACCGGTGTACCGGGCGGTACATCAGGGCGTACCGAGTATTTTTTTATTTTGTTCATACTGTAGCACTGTAGCGGTACCGGGCGATTCGCGTACCGATAACCTGTCGGACCGGTACGTATTGTCCGGTACGAGCGGTACACTTTCGGTACGACAGACCTTGTTCTAAAGTATCCTCACCTCCACTCCACTCTGCCTCCTCCTACTCGGTGGTTATACTCAAATTATGTTCGAGTTATACTTATTTATAGAATATATTTTTAAAAAAAATTATATAGAAATTTTATTTTAGAACACAATCATCCTAAACTAAAAAAAAAAAAAAAAAATGATACTAAGCATATTGATATCTCATCACCCTAATAGTTATGAAAGAATTTTAATAGATTTGATGAAAATTCAAAGAGTTGCATTCGAGTTATATTTCTGTATTACATGAGTTATATTCGAATATCATATTTAAAAAAAATAATTATCCTAAATTTATAATATAAATAGCAAAAATGATACTAAATATATTATTATATCACCATAATAATTTTGGAGGAGTTTAGACAAAATTGATGAAAGTTTAATAAAATATACTTATCATCCATTCAACCCAAAAATATTATATTTAAAAATTATTTATCCTAAAATTATAAAAATTTAGAAAGATACTAAATATCTTATAATCATAATCTAGTAGTTGTGAAGAAGGTTGAATTTGTTTGATAAAATTTTTTTGGTTATATTCGACACACTCATTTGTAAATTCAATAAAATTTAACTTGACTTGATTCAGGTCATATGATGTTTAGATTGGATTAAAAACCAATTATGACGGTGTCATTTGTTAAAAGTTTAATACTAGAATTTTTTTTGATAAATTATCCAAAAAACATATAACTAATAAATTTTTTATAATCATAAATATTTTTTGAAAACATATTAATATCAACTAGAGTTTTAATTAATAATCAAATGATAATAAACCTATGAATATTAATAATATTTATCTATAATTTTTGAACTTAAAAATAAGAGGAATAATTATAACAAGTTACTTATTTAAATATAAATTTGCTTATAAATAAATAAATACATAACGTCTTTATAATCAAATTAAAATATGTTAATATCATTTTTAGTTCTAATTATCAACGAAATGATAATTAACTTAAAATTAAAAAAATATACTAAGAGGATTTAACATAAGTATCACCTATTTAAATACAATTTTGCTTATAAATAAATAAATAATGTATTATGTATGTACATATATTCTCACCTGCCGTGGACGGTGAAGTCGCCACAAAGGCCACTCCAGTTAAAAGTAATTACAAGCGATGAGGGCGATCGCGTCTAATCCTTTTTCCCTCATCCTCTCCTGTTATTGCCCGATAGAGTTATCTTCATCTTCCCCGTCCTTTGCGTTCCGAGGAGAAGGAAACCCTAGAAAACCTCGAGCTCATCGATGGCGGCGTTGATGTGCCCGTCGTCACCTAACTCGCTCCGGCTGCAGTTTGGCTTCAGGTGCCGCGAATCCTCTGCCGTCTTCCTGCGGGTCCGATTCCGCCCGACTAATCGCCGTGTCGTTGTATCTTTCGCCGGCGGAGAGGCGGCAAGAAGTGGGGGCAGGGGACGGCCTTGGAATGGCTCCGATGGCTCGCCGGACGGATTCGCCGGGTGGTTGGAGACGGGAACCGGCGCCGGGCAGTCCAAGAAAAAAGGAGGGCTTCGAGGTGAGGAGTGTCGCTTCCGCTTGACATTCTGCGACGAATTTGGGTTTTACGGCTCCTCTGCTTGTTGGATTTAGAGGCTTCTGGATTTCTTGGTGTTACTTGTCACTAGTTACCACTCAATGGTTTCTTTACTGACATGGAAATTCTTTTATTTATGCATTTATTTATTTATCTTGTCCTAAGTGAATTGGGTTCGTTGGCAATTTCATTCATCGGATGCTAAAAGAGGAACATCATGGCGGCACCTAAGTTATGATTTTGTTGAGATCTGACAATAACTATTCTGTTTGAGAGAAGCAACTTACAAACATATTTGACTTCTTCTGTCCTTCAGGATTAGGGTTGTTAAGGAAAAGAAAGGATAATTGAAGAACATTTATTGTTTTGTAAAGCATCTGGCCACATAACAGGTGATTTGAAGGTGAATCTATTAAAATGGAAACATAAAACACTTGGATTTTAACTCTGTACCTCGTGATCTTCTTTAATCCCTTTTTCCCACTTTTAAGTTTCTTTTGGCCCATGTTTGGTTTTTTCTCCTTACTACAAGTATCCTTGAGTTGTGTTAAAGTTGCAAATTCAATCCTTATTTACTTTTGCCGGCTTTACTTATCTTTTCTGCTCTAGCCTCATTTACTAGATCAATGATAAATTACCTAAGCATCATAAACTATTGGTGTCTTTTGATCTGTGTGATGCATCTTTAAACCTTACATTGCGCCTTCTTTAGAAACTTGGTTTATATTGTAGATAGTAAATTGCGATCGTGTTCACTTCTATGGATGTACTGGTTACAGTTGATGTTTTTTCATAATTTCTTGAAGGTATATTCAATTTTACTCATTGTTAATAGTTAGATTAAGTATTTGACGTGTAAGTACGGTCGCAACATGGTACCACTGTGCTAACTGGCATGGTATAATTTGGTTCAACCATCTGTATCACTAAGCTAGGGTTGCTTAAGAGCAGGTTGTTCATAGCTTCAGGATTTATTTCTCACTTAGGAGTTATTAATCCCTTTGGGGTATTTAAGCTTTCCTTGTATTGAAAAGTGTATATTTGCTACTCTAAACGCCTGTCAGAATAACACTTTCAGATGATGTATTTTTCCTAGCCTGCCAATAATTATTACTAGATCTAATTTTGTAGGAATCTTTTGATGCACTTTTTATTAATTCAATGATTTTCTTAGACCCCCTTAAAAAAAAGTTAACTAGTTACTCTTAAATTTATAGTCATGTAATTTCCGAACTATTTTTGGAATTTGCTGGATCTGCAGGACACACCTAAGTATTTTGTTTGATGAATTAAAAACTTTTTCTTAGAATTTGCAGGATCTTTCAGGACCCCTAACTATCTTATTTGATGAATTTTCCACATGAGTTAGATGTTCTGTTATAGCTTTGAAATATCGTGGAAAGCAAGATTTAAATATGGATATTGGGTAAACCTTTGTATTAGACAAAGTTAATAACCGGAGGCTCACTAATTTTTGATGAAATAAGGTCAAATATTCTTGTCATAAATCTTGAGTAGTTAGCACCCCTTTTATTTGTGTTGCTTAAATGCTGCTGTTATGGTTTTTGGAGTACTAATGACACTTCTCTAGTAGTTCGCTTTCAGAAATGCTGGGAGCATGGCTGGCTGGGGTTCTTTTTGCTGCTGGAGTTACATTTGCAACATTATCTATTGTCAACAAAAATGCTTCTGGTATGTGATATTTTGCCATGGCTTGAACTTCTCAAGTTTATTACTATCCATTGGTAACTAAACATCAAATCAAAAGTGTTGCTTTGGAAATTTGTTTTTTCTGACATGGTTGGTTGAATGTTATTCTTTAAGATATTATGTAGCTCATACTTATTTCCCCTCCCTCTAAATCTTTAAAATTAGAAGATTAACCATGCATCATTTTTTACGAGTGTGTTTACAATTTTTCATATTCTTTTCCTCAGGGGCAAAGCAGCAGGTGGAACCATTAGCAAGCGAGCAAGAAATATTAATGTCTTCTGTTGATGCAAGTGAAAAAGATAATCGGGTTGGTGAGGTGTCTAATGTGGTTACAATTGGTGAAGAGAGCATAATCAATGACCGCAATGAAGACAATGAGACAGGTACCAGTGAAAATTTTACCCCTACAAATGTTAATGGAGATGTTAGTGAGAGCAGATATGGTGACATGCAAGATTTGGAGTCTTCATTATCAGAAAATATAAAATCAGTTGGAGAGGGTGTCATTGAAATTAAAAGAGCTTCGACTCTAGATGATCTAGAAGTGGCCAAAAATGTTGATAATCTTCCTCTATTTGCTGGCTTGAGCAACAGCACACATGAATTGCCTACTTATGAAGATGGTTTTTCACATGAAACATCCAAATCGGATGATTTAGGTTGCGCTACGACTTTTGATATGTTGGAGTCAGATATCGGAAAAGATGTGAATGCCGATGGTACTGTTACTCTTGTAGGCTTAACTTCTGTTAATACTGCTTCAACAAATGCCATAAGTAATAATCTTGAGGAAACTATTAACTCAAATTCTGAAACTCCTTCACAATTCTTAGGTGAATTTGAGAGCCAGGTTCCCAGCAATTCAATAACACCTGATGCCAAAAGAATAGACTCAGATGAAATAGATTACCAGTTCAGTTTTGAAGATGTCGTAGCAAATGTGTCTCTTTTGAAGGATCAGGATATTGAACAGAATAACATGCTGCAGTTACCTGCAAAGGACTGCACTGAGTGTCCAATAGTGCATGACAAAAATGAGACTGTTCCTATAGAAAAGCTTTTTGACTTGGTTCCTGATCATAGTGAAGAACAGATGCTTCAATTTGACTCAATTAGTTCTGCAGGAGGACATAACTTAAATGACAGTGATTTAGCTTCAGTACAGTCTGTAGTGGTATCTACAGATCCTACTAAAAAAGAACCTGATTTAAAGTGTGACAATGAAACTGAAAGAAACTCATTGTTTGAGTCACTTCTGCCTAAGAAATCTTTCTCCCATTCTGGTATACCAGCTCCATCTCTCGTCTATGCAGCTCAACAGGTACCCCCTGGAAAGATTTTGGTTCCTGCATTTGTTGATCAGGTTCAGGGGCATGCACTGGCAGCATTGCAGGTTTTAAAGGTATACCAGTATGCTTTAACATTATTGTAGTTCATGAGATACTGAAGTTATTGAATTTTTCTTTGCCTCAATCCCATGTAGATATGTTTACATAATAATTTGTCATCTTATGAAACAGTATCATATTTCATGAAAAAATAGATGTTCTTCTTATCTATATAATTTATCTTATGGCAAAGAGGACATGTGGTTTTTTATATTTGTATGAAGACTCACTAAATGTGTTGCTCAACATTGATTTATATGAAGGTTTTTTATGTGATTTATTATAGTACTGTTTATGAATATTTTTTTGTCAGGATTAATACTTTGTTCCTAATCAAATGCTATATGATAGAAGCAGCATGGGCCGCACTTGTGCTCTTATGTATGAGATGATAAAGGCTTTTTTGCATATTTCAAAATTCTCTTGTCTTTTCCATGCTTTGATTTGATGTCAATTGACTGATTAATTTTAGGGGGTACATATAATTCCTTAATCTTTGTTAATATTTGTATCCTATGAAGTGTTGCAACCAGGGAGTACCATGCCACGTAAGCACAATGCCACTTAATCTTTGGCAAGTACCTCCAGAGTGAGTGGGCAGAGGTGGGCAAAAAGTGGGTGGGCCTGCTATTCGGGCCAGTGGCTTCCGGGTCATGCCTCTGTGACTTGCATGAGAAACCCTAAGCGTAGGGTTTATATATATATATATACACACACATATATGGATGTGTATATATTTAAGATGTATATGTATATATATATATACACATGCATACATACAAATACACACACACACACATGCTGGCCATTTCCTCATGCTGATTCTCTCTCATGCTATATAGGGGGGCATCATAATCTACAATTCATATCCATGGTGGTGCCTTGGCAATATTCCTGGTTTGTCTTGCATCAGTTTGATCAAATAGTCTTTGGATTCAACTATTAATCCATAGAAATTATGAGATTTACCAGCTTGATTGAGAAACTAGGCACTAGAGCTGTGCAGAACCATGAGTGATATAGTTGCTGCCTCATGGTTCGGTTATTTTAATTTCTTCTTTGTAATTTTGCTTTTTAAAAAAAAGAGGAATTGAATAGATGTTGGGCTTTTTTGCCACTAAAGATTTTTTCCAACTTATGCTCAGATCTAACGTTATATGGATTACTGATACAATCAGGTTGGCCATGTCCATTATATCAAACTGGTGGAGTGGTATTTTGAGGTTGCAATCAAGGTTTAAATTATGCTTGTGTCTTTGAGGAAGCAGGACCTCTCTCCCAATGATTGTATCATGTTTAAATGATCAGTAGATGTATCACTTCCAGAATCATGTTGGTCAAGATCCATTGTATAAAATGATTCGTAGATGAATATCCATTGTATAAGAAACAAGAATCCAAAGCTGGGTTTCTTGTTTCTTGAATATACTCGTGTGCTAAAAAGTTATTCTTTAGTTGTACAGAATGAAACTAATCTTCATTTCTTGATGTTGATGCTTTCTTAGCCTTGATATATATATATATATATATATATATATATATATATATATATATATATATATATATATATCAGCATGATCATATTTTTTTCCAAAATTTTCTTAATGTATGAAACTTGGTACTTTTTAATCTTTTAAAAAGACATTAGAAAGAACCTGGCCTAATATTCTCTCGTTTACGAAAATGCTGTTGTATTGTTAGTCTTTAGATTTGTTAACCTCTCCCTTCTCTAGCCTGGCCTTGGATTTAGGCACCAAGCAGTTTGTTAATTACAGGTCATATATATATTTTTCTGATGTTCTATCGATCCTTCTAATTTGGTGTCCTGTAGTTGACACATACCTATGGAAGAAGGCTTGTGCTCCAGAGTAATTGAAGTTTGGGGTTTCATATATTGAGTGGGATAAGCCAGGGTGCAATTGCTCTGCTCTTTAAGTAGATATTTATGAATTTTGGTGATAATATATAATGATCTTAATTACCATGTTTACCAAGAAAGGCAAACTCCAGTGACTAGATTTCCAAAAAGCATTGTCCCTTTTGTTTTTCAAGAAATTAATTTTCTGAATAGTAAAAGTACATTCAGACTTCTTTGAAAACAGTAAGCTTTGCTACGAAAATACAAAATAGTCAATGAAATCTGGAGACACTCTGGCTGTTAGTGGTAGAGAACTTTCATAAAAGCTCAAGTTGACATGTCAAATTTATCATGTAGGTCATTGAGGTGGATGCTCAACCAGGTGATTTATGCACTCGTCGTGAGTATGCTCGTTGGCTAGTCACTGCAAGCAATGTCTTTTCAAGGTATATCTTTCCACCTATTTTAAGGTGTAAATTATGCTATATATTGACATTTTTTATAGGTTTAATACATTGTAACACATCATGTTGGAACTTAAAATAGCATGTCAGTTGTTTTTTATTGGATAAGTTGCGCTTTAATAAGGTGGTGCCCCTACTCATTAGTTGGTCCCCTAGGTTTCTAGGTAACTTTCTTGACAAGAATTAAATTTATGCCTTTACTTCTAAACATGATGCTGATGTGGGGCCACTCTGACATATTTTATGAATTGTGTACTGAACTTGATCTGTTGTCTGACCTTGTTTGAATATACAAACTATTGATCGTTTGTTTTCTATTCAGGAACACCTTTTCAAAAGTGTATCCAGCAATGTACATTGAGAATCTGACTGAACTTGCATTTGATGATGTTACACCTAAAGATCCTGATTTTCCATTCATTCAAGGTATGAAATTAGTGAAGTTTAATTATCAGATTAGATACTAGATACTGGATGCATTTGATTTTCAATATCTTGGCTTGTTTTGTAAGCATCATTCAATCACCAATGTTTTCATTTATGTACTTCACACTATAGGCTTGGCAGAAGCTGGGTTAATCTCTAGCAAGCTTTCAAGATCAGATTTGGATGTTTCTGTCAATATTCTGGATGACTATGTTCTTTTCTCCCCTGATAGGTGATAATCATGGGATTTCACAGCCATATTTTGGTGTTCATGCATAACTAACAGTTTAACTTGTATTGCTAAACTTTGTGACTGGCAGTCCTTTGTCTCGTCAAGATCTGATTAGCTGGAAGATGGCATTAGAAAGAAGGCAACTTCCAGAAGTTGATAAAAATGTAAACTTGAGGAAAAATATATTCTATGATTTATTTTAAGATTAAAATTCTTTAAGACATGCTGTATTGTTCTGACCATAATTGTATCTCTGTTGATCAGCATCTATACCAGTGCACTGGCTACATAGACGTTGATAAGATAAATCCGGATGCTTGGCCTGCTTTGATAGCCGACTTTGCTGGTGGAGAACAAGGCATTACAGCTCTTGCTTTTGGTAATCCTTTTAATCTATAGTGCTTGTTTTATGGGTTTGGGTCAATGAAGGAAATTTATCATTAATTTTCATAACAATAGGTTATACTAGACTTTTCCAGCCTGATAAACCTGTCACAAAAGCACAAGCTGCCATTGCAATTGCAACTGGTGATGCTGCTGAAGTTGTTGGTGAGGAACTTGCTCGTATTGAAGCAGAATCATTGGCAGAAACTGCCGTGAATGCACATACTACCTTAGTAGCACAAGTAGAGAAAGATCTCAATGCAAGCTTTGAAGAAGAGCTTGCCAAGGAAAGGCAGAAGACAAAAGACTTGGAGAAACTGGCTGAAGAAGCAAGGCTAGAATTAAACAGGCTAAGAACCCAAAGAGAGGAAGAAAAAAATGCTCTTATTACGAGCCATGCTACTGTTGAGTCAGAAATGGAAGTTCTTTCAAGGCTAAGGCATGAAGTGGAAGAGCAATTACAGAATCTCATGAGTAACAAGCTGGAGATATCTTTTGAGAGGGACAGAATGAACAAACTTCGTAAGGAAGTCGAAAGTGAGAACCAGGTCATTATTAGGTTACAGTATGAGCTGGAGGTTGAAAGGAAGGCTTTGATCATGGCCAGGTAAGTTTGTTTTTACTTGTATACTGAGAAGTTATGGTGTTTTCTTTAAGCAATCTCATTTTTGTATGTGTTATGTTCAAGGCTATGTTTGATATGCACACGTTTTCTTGGCTACTTAATGAGTGGAACTAGGTGTAGTCACATTCAGTGCAGGAAATGATATCTCGCAGCAGACAGCTACATCAAAATTAGTAAAGTTATGCTAAATATGATATTGTTTATTCAGTATCATGTACTCTCCTGGTTTTATTAGGAGGTCTCATGTTTTAATTGGCTGAAGCAAGCATATATGCTCTCTTTTTTTACTAATTGGCCTGTTGAATTGCATAGTTGTCACCGTGTGAAGGTCATGTATATTCTAATAAATTATACTGATGCATGATAGCATTGTTAGATAGAGTTGATGAATGCTTTACTGAAGCATAAATGATTTACACCTTAGTTGTATTACCATGATAATAATATATACACATGAATGGAGTATTCTCTTGAATTACCACTTCATTAAACTGTCAGTTTAAGAACCTTTTAAGCTTTTTGAAGCCTTCTTATACGAAATACTTAATCGGATAATAAATTAAATGTTGTAACTTTACCAGGTCTTGGGCAGAGGAGGAGGCTAAAAGAGCAAGAGAACAGGCCAAAGCTCTTGAGGAAGCCAGAGAGCGATGGGAGAGGCATGGCATCAAAATCGTTGTTGATGGAGACCTCCAGGATGATGCATCTATTGGAACAACATGGCTTATTGCCGGGGATCAGCCTCCTGTTGATGAGACAATTGGTAGAGGGGAGACATTGGTGAAGAAGCTCAAGGAAATGGCTGCTGAAATGAAACACAGGTCTTCAGTTACTATTGAGAAAATTATTCAGAGGATTGTCATGATAATTTCGGCTTTAAAGCAGTGGGTCTCTGTTGCCTCCAATCACGCGACTGAGCTCCGAATTGCTGGAATTTCCAAGGCTAAAAATGCAATGATTGAGTTTAAGGAAAGTGCTTCGGGGTTCAGCTTAGTGATTGTGGACAAGGCCAGGAGAGTAGTTGCAGATTGCAAAGGTAGCGTTGGAAAAATCTCACAGAAGTTCAAGGCATGAGAAGAAACTTCCATTTCTACTTTTCTTTCAATTAATAGTACTGGCTTAGGGCCCAAAGTTGCCTGCTTCATTACAAGGATAAGAGATCAGAAGTTCCAATAAAGTTGGGTTCAGAATAATATGCAACGGAGTTGTTTTCTCCGCTGCTTAGATATAAGAGTGGAGAAAGCGGATGACAGATTTTGTTTTATTACCTATGTGTCAGCAGGAACTAGTCATAAGGTTCCAAGCGGTTCATAGGTTATATCATGATGTCTTTGTGTAACTGGTCATAAAATTTTTGCAGGGGCACATTCCACCGCGACTGCATACAGTGGCGTTTTCACAATTGAAAGCTCACAGAACGCACAGCTATGTAGTTGATGCAAATGGTTGAACTGGTAAGAAAGAAATCTCTCAGCAGTGTACACATAATATCCAGAAACTTGTATCTCAAATTGTCATTTTCATCATGTTTTACCAAGTAAATAGCAGTTACGTGATCATGGTTAATTCAATTTAGATTGCTGCATGACTTGGTACTTCATTGAGAAAAAGTATATAACGAGTGTAAATTAACTGAGCTCAGGAAAAGAAAGAAAAGAAAAGAACTTGTGGGAGCTCTTCCCAGTAATAATCTGGCAACTTTGTTTACAGGATGAGCGCTCTGCCTGCTGATGCTTGTATTATTTAATGATTGTTTACCATTTGAGCTTGCTTAAGCCTATCATAAACATTAGAATTCTTGCTTATATTAGTCAAGCTGGTACTTAAGCTTCTCTTTGATTTGATGTGATAAATACTGCTAAATTAATGAAGTAGAGAAGGCACAAACTGAGGAACTTGTTTAATATGAAAATTTTATTTCTAGTATGTTTTTATGACCATTAAGGATTGTACATGTTTTTGCTGATGAATTTTTTACATCAGTGGCACCATAAGGTGCGATTCTCATCAAAATAAGCTTGTTTATCTGCCACCAATGAATGTTCTTAGCATCAAAACTCACCAATGAACATTCTTTTAATGAAATTTGTTATGATGATTTTTTTTTTCTAATGACATGATTGAGATCAAATTCTTTATGTTACTCATACTTACGCTTGGCGAGATTGTTCTTGCCACTCCTGCAACGAGCTAATGTTTTCTTGGGAACATCATCGTTCAGCATAATAGAGTGACTATAAACCTTCACCACAAAGTGGTAGCATTGCGGCTTTCATTCACGGAAGAACTCCTTGTGGTTGTCCCCTTTTTGGGCGTGCGGTGTGCCACCGGAAGACTTGCTCTGCTCGCTCAATCCCAACCCTATCACCGGCACTGGAATCCCTAAGCAGAAGGAAGACGGCTTTGGGGGTGCTTGTATTATTTCTGTCAGATCCAGCGACTGGATCCACAGCTAGGAGGAGAGAGATCTTGAGAATGGTTTTGGCATGACCGAGAGCGACGGCAGATGCGGCATGGCCGCCTTTGCTGTGACCTGCAAGTGCGAGCTTACGAGGTTGGCTTCAATGCCTTCAGTCAACACTCGTCGAAGGCCGTCGTCGAGAAGCAACGTGGTTCAGCAGCTTGCTGTAGTAGATGTTGAGGTTCCCATACCCGTGGAGGAAGCGACAACCGGATGGCTGCCTCCTTGGGTCGGAGCGGCGACCCACAGAGGCTTCGGAGGCGAGGAGTCATCCCGTCAGCCCTCAAAACATCCCCTCCCAACTTCCCAACGTCAAACACAGCGGAGGCCGCGCCATCGGCCTCCTCGAAGGGAAGTGAGATGCCGACGGCATTGGCGGGAAACGCAGCGTTACGACATCCTCCAAATAATTCCTTAGATATGTATATTTGATGAACTAATTACATATTCTTTAGATCTATTTAGTATTTCGATTTTTAAACTTGAATTTTTTATATTAAAATTTTTATAATTATAAACGTAAAATATCTAATTCTATTTGTCCCGATATCATTAATTTTATTAATGAAAAGTATGTAAATAATATATAAAAATATAATTTTAATAACTTAATTATGTTTTCAATAGTGGTAGACGATGATGTGGCGAGGGGGTTACGGATGATTGTTGTAAATGAGAGAGAGTGATGACAAGAGATGAGATAAAGGGAGAGGAGAAAGAGGACGAGCGTAAATGTCGACACTCTATATCTATGTTAACGTCGTTTAATAACTATATTGATACCGATACAGATGCAAGAATAATAAAAGAGTTACTCAATATTTACATTATCTTCTTCATTCTTTTTTCGTCTCACATCTTGTTGTTACTTTTTCTCTTTATCCACAACAGTCACATGTAACCTGCATTATCGTCTGTCATCACTAAAAATATAATTAAAATATTAAAATTATTTATTATTTATTATTTTCATGTTTTCATCGATAAAATAGATGAGATAAAGATAAATAGAATTAGATGTTTCACTTTTATAATTATATAAATTTTAATATAATTTTTTAACTCTAAATATCAAAATAATATATAATTAGTCCGTGGGAAAGTTATTTCATTTCATAACTACGTACTAGAAACAATTCATTTATTTACGTAGAAATCGATACCATATTAATTCTGCCGAGTCGAACCGGATCCGGATATGGATCCGGTTACGCAACACCCGATCCATGCCCCCTTCTCTTTCCACGCGCCCGGCTCATCGTCCGCAAACACCGAGGCCTTCGATCGGTTTCTGTAGTTTCTTCTCCCTCTATCGATGGCTTTGTTGCTTTCTCCCAGCTGTCGACGCCGCGTCATGCGACAGAAGGCGTTTGCGTCGACGAGAGGGATCGCCGGGGCGAACGAGCTTGCTGGACTGGTGGTTTCAGTTATATGGCGAGGCTGGTAAACCTATTCCACGGCATTTCTTATGTAACCTAAATTGGATTCCTTGGATTTTTTGAGATTTGAATCCTTTTTTGTATAATCCACTAACATAATCAGTGGCTTATTGGATTTTCTTTGAACTTGTTCTTTCTATTGGTGCCAAGAATGTTCTTTTATAAGGAATAAAACTGTTTAAATGATGAAATTGATTGCAACGAAAGGGTTTTGTTTTCAAGAACGTTCTTTTATATGCAAAGACAATGAAAAATTGTTGTCTAAAAAATGGAACTTTATTGCATTGGAAGCAATTCGTATTGCAGCACATGTCATCCACAAATCTCACTAACATATCGACATGAATCATTTGCTGAACTGATCATAGTTTGTAAACGGGTCAATGTCATTATTATCATCTGATTTCTTCTTTAAGTCAAAGATCAATTGCCTAAGAAAAATCAGCTCGGCACAATTAACATATTGTTTTTATGTGCATTAAAACACTTGGGTTTTCCCCGTTAGAAGATACTTGTTCTTTTTTCAAAAAAAATTGGAAAATGCAAGTACTCAGGTATCCCAAGGTTGACAACATTTTAAAGTTGCTCAACTTGTTTTCTCTGCAAGTGGAGTTGAGTAGAGTTCTTTTTCAAAACATTAGGCATCCAATCTATTAGAAGGTATTTTCTCAAAATCTGGAAGGTCAAGTACTAAATTTCAATCATGGCCTACTTGAGTTATCGGTTATGGTCATAAGTAATAAGTTGCATTTGTTTTGAAATAGCTCGGTGTAGCATGATTATACTAAAGTTTCAAATGAAACTAGAGATTGAAATATTTGAATTTCTCTCAAGTGGCCACTTTTAAGTGACAATATGATCATCTTTTGCTTGTTTCTGTATTTATTTTGGCATAGCAAGTGAGGCTATCTTGTTATTGAAAGCAACATCTCTCCTTAAAAAGCAACAAGTTTCTCCCTCGGATGATCACTTGAGTATGACAACAGAAAATTCTGAATCAATTAAAGAGGACTGAACACCTTAAACCTTAGATGTTTGGATTTTTTTGCAATATTGATAGTTCACAGAGATTATGAGACATATGAAAAGGCTAATGCCCCAAAAGTAGTTACTTATAAATGGATTAACTCTTCTGATTTTGTGGTTCCTGATTCTCAGTTTGATCTCAAGAAAACAAAAAAGTTCATAATGTATATTTTAATGTGCTGTTTGTCTAGGGATACTGAACTGGTATTTCATCAATATTTTGTCCTCTGTAATTGATTCTCAGTTTGATCTCAAGAAAACAAAAAAGTTCATAATGTATATTTTAATGTGCTGTTTGTCTAGGGATACTGAACTGGTATTTCATCAATATTTTGTTGTTAGTTCACATTGGTGTTAGCACTAATGTTTGTGTGCTATATAATGGCTACAGCTGACAAAATTTAGAGTCAGTAATTTCTCTTTGCCCGTCCTTTGTAATATACTTCTAGGTTTACATACAGGGAAGTAAGTTTTGGATAGATTTCCTTTTGCTTTTTGGTTCCACATTCCATCTCCATGATATTGGTTAGAAATTTATAAGTATTCAGCTCATAGCATTACAACATAAGGATACTCTTTCATGATAGCTAATTGTGTATGCAAGGTCTTTGTGTGTGTTTTGCAGGGAGATGTTCCGAATAAATGTCTTTTATCCCTCTGTTTTAACATGTCTTACTTTTCATGTTAGTACAATTGTTTCAGTTTACTAGACTACATGGTATTCTATATTTGAGAAGTGGGTAACTTGTTCATGTATTTTCTGCCAAATAAGGTGATCAAATAAATGGCAATAACTCAGAACTCCTCAAACAACATTGACTCTCACGCTTTTATTAATTATGGTCAGAGTTCCTGCTTCTGATCATTACTAAATTCTAATGCCATTTTTTTGTTCATTTAATTCTCACAAAATTGTTACTTTGGCCTATTAGCATTGATTAAAGTTTTCATACTGTCACCACTTATATACTTGTCATTGATACCTGATAATTGTTTTAGGCTGTTTGCCTTCCCATAAATTGTCAAAATCTTCATTCTCATTTAACATTTATATGATGAATACATGTTATTTCTTCATTCATTCTTGTTTTGTATATATGAACACTTTCTCCTGATATTTTCTTTTCCTAATATAAAGGCTATGATGATGCATCAAATTTTTCATTCTCGATTTTGTTCCATCGATGATTGATTTTTTTTAATTTTTTTTATTAATATCATTGCATCTAAAAGCTTAAGCCAGGAGATGAGACATGATTCATTGATTATATTCTTAGCATTTCCCCTCACATGTGGGTGGCAGATGACTCACCCAATACATGGAACTTGAATTAGTCAGGGATTTATATAATGGTCTAGATATGCTTTAAACATTGGACCTACCACTCTATAAGAGTTTAAGCTAGTAGATGACACATGATCCATTGATTTATATTATTAACGATGTTAAAATTTTATATCCTTAACATCTTGTTTTCATGTTAAGTTTTTTGTAAAATTACTGATATTTAGCAATCCACAATTCTAAATGATCATTATTCTATTTCAAATCAGGAATTCTAGTTAGGCTTGGCCCTGTGATATGAAGCTGTACATTTTTTTATGATTAACTGAAATTCATGCAGGAATATAAAGCTTCTACAAGTGTTCATGTTTTTAGAACCTTGATTTGGCTGCAAAGATTCTATTGATGCTGGGCGATGTGCATTTTGCCTCTCTCTATGTGAAATAAAAGCCATCATGACAATTGAAGAGATAACAAAATCATTAGTTGGAACAAACTTAATGAAGAAGTTTTCGAAATTTTGTATTTAATATTAATGAAAATCATCAATTTTTCCAACAAACCATGAGAAATAAATTGTTGAAAATTTCCCGGAGCTAAGGGACTTATCCATCGTATCATATCATCATGAGAAGAATAAAACCACAAAATGATGCCCAACGAATCTTCTAATGATCGCTCGAACAAGCAAAATTCATTTTTGAGGCAAACTTGTGGAGCTCATCAAATGATAGCTGTTACTTTTCTTTGGGTTCATGTGCTCAATCAGTAGTTGAATGGTATGTGAATGATATTTAAATTTTTTTTTGAGCCAATGAGTTTTTGGTGGCATCCCAAGTTTTTGTACATGTTCAGAGAATCATTGTTCTAATTCTTAGTATACAATGATAATAACATGCTTGGAAACACTAAAGAGAATTCATGTTCTATTACAGTGCAAAATTAAACAAAAAGGAACAATGAAACTTAACAGCTAATGGAAATATTTTTGTTTGACAAGCAAGACAATGACATTAATGAGACGAGCAAATTTTTTTGTATATAGTTATGGGAAATCTATCTATGGAATATTGGTGGTTGGCAACTAACCTTATATTACAAGGACAATCTTAAAAATATTTAGTTTATAGTTATCGATTATGATTTCACTTTTTTAATATTTCAGAGAGTTTGAGGCTGTGTTTCTTTCTTTATTTTCCTTAATATAACATGTTAGTAGTCATGTTTTCTGTCACTAGCAATACCATGCTGTATTATAACCAACTCGGAGCATTAGGAAATATCCTGTTCATGTTTTGTAGTATCATGACAATAAAAAATGTCTGACGCTGACATAGCACTTGAAATCTCTTCAGTATCAGGCTCTTCTAACCTTTTCTAGATTATGTTCAGGTTAGTTTCTATTGAGGAGCACAGAGCTGCTTCCAAGAAGCGACGAGATGTTACATCTCTGATCAGATGAGACTTCTTGTCAAGATATAGGGCCATCTTGATGGACATTCTATCGGTGGGTGGCTTAATTCCAAGAGTAAACAGAGATGACAATAGAAACATACTTGGAGTACATGAAATTGTCAAGGCCTACTAGTGAAGAGCACATAATGTACCTGCTAAGGACAAATCTTTTGGTCCCATTTGAACAACCTGTCCTCAAAACTTGTTGAACAAGTTGGAGAAATCATCATCCAAGGATATCAAGCTTGATTGCAACAGGCATCCAAGGATGAAAAGCTTTATTTATCTCAAAAGTAGGCTTATCCGCGATCCTTTTTCTCGTGGGTATCTGATAAGTTCAAGATTAGAACTTTATGAGATATGCAAAGCAAAGGTGTATCTGCTTCACCGAGTACCATATTTTGATCAAGGTAGATGCATGAAGCTGCCACATGAAGAACGAATACTTTGCCAAATTTATCTCAACAGTCATCATCCACATCAGGTGGTCGGTGACAGAATGCTGTATCGAGGCTGTTGTGGAATGGCATCATTCTTCAGATGTGTTAATTGGATAAGAATGTTGAACAACATAGTGAACATTGTGCCCATGCAAGAGAATGCCAACAAAATGTCTGTTCGAGCTAAATGGGTAATAGAAAACAATTGCATGTGAACCCAATAAAGCCAAAGGCAACTGTGACCTTGGACCCAGGATCTCCCGGTAGAGACAAGTTATGGTGGCACAAAGTTTTAGAACTACAGCTTTGTTCATGAGGTAAGAAGAAACACTGGATATCAAGTGAAAACTATGTTCGTGCAGGTTTGGATGGGAACTGCTAACAAGCAGCTGGTAAGTCCAACTTAAACAGTTTGCAAAGGGCTAAAGGATGAGGATGTTGATGATGATGACTTTATAATTCTTACTTCTGACACTTTTTTTTCCCGCTCAGATCCTGCAGTCAAGTGAAACTTCGATTGGAGTGCCAAAAGAACACTGAAGTTCCTCACAAGATGAGCCAACCACAGGTAAATCTCTTCCATTTATCCTATGTGGTATCTTCTTTAGCAAATTATTCGGTCAAACATAACCACTTACAGAAGTTGCAAGGGACCAGATCAAAGTCTAAAGAGATCATCTGGTCCCCTTCTCGGCGTTTGACGGAAGAATGAAAGAGGAAAAAGAAAGATGACAAGGTAGATCAGTTCTGTGGCTACAAGACGTACTAAATCGTCATTACATGCAAAATGTTATCATCTATAGAACTAACTTTATGTGGCCATGTGAGAGAAGGCTTCAGATGCAATGTCTCTGGTAAGACCATGAAACATTGACCACGAAGCATGCATGAAGCGGAATGGTCACCCACTCCACTGGTGAGAAGTCTTGGCGCACAGGTCTGACCTAATCACCTCGTCATAGACTCGTATATTATTCTTGACTTACAAGTCTGCATGTCATCCAGGAAGCTGATAGATTCTCATCCTGTCAACTTGACCTGCAAACGAGCCACAAGGTCTGATGCTTGTATGACGGGATCTATGAAGGTAAATTCCCTCTATTTCTCATTTAAAAATTCGATTTTGCCCATGAAATTATATATCCTCTCCGGCACAATGGACAAAGATAAAGCATCCGAGGTACCTGGGGGAACCCACAAGCCATGTATTATATAGTTCTTGGGTGTAGACAAGATGTGTATTTTGTGTACAGCGTGACTGCGACGTCTACAGCCACCCACACGCTACGTTGCCAAAATCACACTTCTCTATTCACTTGACGACACAACTAGGGAGAGATAGAGAGAGAGAGAGAGAGAGAGAGAGAGAGAGAGAAGGGTATAGGTACTTTATGTTGTACCAGATTTGGCCATACGATCCCCTTCGTATGTGATTGGCAAAAGCCAATGGAGCATCAGCCGCAGTATTCTATCAGCAGTATGGACAGACTGCGTACTCTCCTGTATGTCTTCCACCCACTTCTGCGTCGCATTCAATGCCGCAAGTCGATGAAGGCTCGGGAAACATGTTACCACCACCACCTGCACGGGGTGCTTACTGCCACAGCCGGAAGCTTTGCAGGACTATTCATGGCATTGACCTGTTTCTTACTGCAAGTGGACGATCGCCTCTCTCTCTCTCATGGGGCGGACACATCCGAGCTTCTGCCCTGGAGAAACTCAGGCTAATCTCGTGACAATGTGTGTGCTTTGTGCCCATTTTGATCCGTAGGAACAATACACCAAACATGACAGAGACTGAGTCAAAGATGGACCCAAAGAGACGAGCTGACAACACCGCTTCTGTGCAATCTCTACACTACCTGTCAGGGACTCAATAATACTGTGTCTCCACGGCAACGATCTTTTGGGGACAAAGAACACATGGGATCGCTATCAGCAAAGGGGACTGTAACGCCCAGACTACGCACCGCTTCGCACCTTTGGCCATGGCCAGACGGTGCTTTTGGCCATATGATGCTGCTCGGTCCGGTGGGGACAAAGCAGTCGTTCAGATTGCTTCGAGGAAAAGCAAGGGAGATTCTGGTCATTGCAGCGGTGGCCACAAGGTGAGCGAGGGCCAAAACCCTCATCTTTGGGATAAGTAATCAACTATTTGGTTCCTTGTTAGAGAGGCTGGACAACAAGAGGGCTCGAGCATAGCGTGGAGAAGAGAGACAAACATTATATATGCTTGCCACAACATTTCTTTTCCCCTTTTCTTTTCCATCCGCCTTTATTCAGCAACCGCAAATTATTTGTCGCCAAATGCCAATTTTTCTCTCAGCAGAAGAGCTGAAGCGAGCGGCTTCTCCAGTGCCGTGGAGTGTGTAGCCTCCGCCGTAGCTCTTCCTCAACCCCGGTCGCCGCCAGCGGCAGGGAACTCCTTTGTCTCTTGATCGCTCGAGGACTGCTTTTAGGCGAAGGTAGGCACTCTCCATATCGATATATCTCGCGATCTCTGATTTGCCTGGTTTCTTGATGAGTTTTCTGCGCTTCAAAGTCTCCGTTCTGTTACCCCGAGCTTCTAGTTGCGTTCTTTTGGAAGAAAAATGGCTACTTTCCGCGATTCAGGTGTCGGTGTAGTGTTTTGGGTTTGTGTGGTAAATTTTTGAGGTGAAATGCTCGAGATCTAGTGGTTGTCGGGGACCGCCTTGGCCAGTGCTGTTAAGAGGAATGGGATGAGATTTTGGTGGATGATTCTATGTGTGTTGGATATTTGCCATTAATCCACGATTTTCCCCCTTTTACGCTCTTTCTACAATTAAGGTGGAGGATATGGGAAGATCTTCTTGTCTGTACTGACCTTTATTGCTTTGATTCGTTATCATTTGTGATTCTTCTTCGTTTCTGCAAGTTATTTTACCTCATATTCATCCACACAAAGGTACTTTTACAAAGAGGTAGATCTGTATTTGCTCTACTTTTGCAATGCGGTTATTTTCTTCATTCTAGTGGGTCAGATCATCTTTCTTGGTGTCAAAATTTTTTACACTCTTGGTCTGAGATGTCCTTTTTGCAGTAACTATTGTGATCATTCTGAAGATAGTTTAGAGGAATGGTTACCTAGATGTTTGAAGAAAGTTTGCAATTCCATAAGAAAGGAGCCATTTTGCACAATTGTACAGGAATAGATTGATACAAACTTCTACATTCATGTAATGGTAGAAGGAAAAGGCTTCTTTTTATAAACAATAGAAATTGGTAGCTGCAGCACAATGTTTGACCAGCCTCAAGTGCAAATTGATCTGTTGGGTTGCAAGAACTTCTCAGAGAAGGAGACGGAGGAACATCTAGAAAGAATTGGAATTTGGTATAATGGTGATAACCAGAGTCCCAGACATTGTAGCATAGATAGAGTTATGTCCTATAGAAAGGTGACCTAGACTTTGATACTCTCTTAGATATACAACTATTTGTGATTGAAATGTCATTGTTATTGAGCTTTGTCTGTTATGCTGCCCTCAAATTAGAAAGTACTAGCATGCAGAGATTGCTAGTTGATTGTTAAGATGGCATTGCAAGTTGAATGTAGAAGTTTTCTTATGATATATCAAGCTATTCCATGGCATATCATAAACTATCTTGTTCTGTTTTCTTATGATATGCTTCGAGGCCATCTTGTTTCTTATAGTTTATGTTTGTTTAACTCTCTCAGGATTTGCTGACTTTTTTCCTTCTTTTCTTTTTTTCCTTTTGGAAGGGTTATGATACACTGATGCTCTTGTCAATTTGTGATTCTTTAAATTTAGCACAGAGACAAGTATAACGATGTTTTGTTTTCATTCAATTTTGATATAGAAGTGAAATTGATGTTAAATTAGTTATCTTGATTATGACTTTTGATAATGAGATGAATCACTAATGTGAGCTGTGACAATGGAATTTAGGTTTTTATCTAACTATAGACTTGGCTCTAAAATAATCTATTACTGTTTTGAAAGTTAATAGTGAACTTTTCTGAAGTATAGAAATTTGGTATGTTGTTGAGACCTGTCGGTCTTTGATGGATGGTTCGCAGGTAGAAAGTTTTGATCTGATCCACAGGTTGGCCTTAGGCAGGTTAGTCATAAACTCAGCCCGGTCGGTTCTGGCCTGATTCGGTTACTTTTGATCTAAACACATATTGGTAATTTATAGAATGGAGAAGCTGAGACCTCTGAGTATTCAATGGGTGGTTCACAGGTAGAAAGGTTTGGTTAGAGGTAGGTTTTGGTCCTAAACTCAGCCTAGTTGGTGCTGACCAGTTTCAGTTAGATTTGTTCTAAATCAAAGCATAACTCACAAGTGTCTGATCATATCTAACGAGATTTGGTGGTCCTAGCCTTAATTTCTAGTATTCACTTATTTAGTTCAATCTGCACCAGTAATTGGTACATTTCTGTTAAGAAAAATCATAAAGTAGGTTATTGTATACATGTAGCTTGTTTAAAAGGAGCGAGGCATAAACATTCCAGGCAAACTTCAACCAACTAGCTCATATTGTGATCTTCTATTGTTTAGAAGTTGGAAGTTCTTCTTGAAGACCTGAATGGTGTATCCAGTGCTATGGTAGCTTTAGGTTATAACCAAGTACATAATTTTTTTAGGATCATTAATTTGTATGAGAATCCATTACCTGATATCTTTGTGATTGATAACTCAGTCTAATAATGCACTTATTATTTACTATAATTTAGACACTTGCTCAACTTGTACCCAAAATAATCAAGGTATCTCTTGTCATGTTTGATCTTACATGGAAGCTAACCTTATCTGTTATGCTTTGGCAGCTTCTGGAATCTATGGGTCAAGATGTAGTTCTGGAATTTGACAATCATTTTCAAGGAAGATTGGGGCATAAAATTGTTAGTGCCTGTAGTCCTAGCAGTAGAAAGGTACAAGAGAGATGTAGAAAAGGACAGCCTGCAAACACAATCAACTACTTGAAGAATTTGGATGGTGATTTTAGAGAACTTAGCCATAGATATTCATCAAATCTCCATTATGAAATTATGCACTCCACAAGTCTTGGTTGCAACGATGAGAATGAAGTGCTAAAAAGGGGATCTATGTATCAGAGCTCTAAAGAAGTCAGGAGAATGAGAAAACTACGAGAGCGAAGGAGGGAAGTAGAATCTAGGTGTACTGATGATGATTTTATTTCATTTGAGATTGTTGATCATTTGGCTCAGCATGGCATAAACAAATCCAATCAGTCACCACATCAGAAGTTTTTGCCTCCTGTGTGTTCAAGTGCTGATTCAAAACCTACATCTGCTGACACACTTAACTCAACTGCCATGAGCTCTATGGAGTTTCTGGATCTTTCGTTCCGTGATCTTCCTGATAAGCCTTTGCATACCAATAACTTGTGCTCCAATTTTGGACCAGCAAAAGGTAACTTAGTAGATGATCTCTTGGAGATCTGCCTACACTCTGTCAATACAAGAACTCACTGTACAGAAGCAACTTCTGAGTTGCTAGAAGTTGGACCTCTCAAGGAGCAAGAATCTGGTTGCCACGAGAAGTTTGGTCCTGAAAGTCATGGGAAAATCATTTGTGAAAGAAATTCACTAAACATTCTTCCAAAAAGCTTTTCAGAAAAGACAAAAATGTCCCACACACTTATGCAGTTGGAATATGGTCTAGCTGAAGCCAGGGATTCGAAAAATATGTTTAGCCCACTGAAGAAAATGTTTGATCCTTTGATAAAATCCAAATCTCTCCGTGATTCACCGCTCACAGGAACACAAAGATCTGGGAGCAAAGTTATTGATTCCACAAGCATTACGAGTAACGGAGTGTTTGAGGATATGGAGTGTGTGACAGGAGAGATCTTGACTGCTTCTATGTCGCCTGCTCATCTACATGGAATTCTTAAACTTGATATAGAGAATCAGAACCCATCATTTGAGTTCTCTCTACAAGATCCAGAAGACACACTATCTGCAAAAACATGGAAAACGGATAGTGCATTTAACTGGGTTTACACCTTCCATAGTTCTAGAAAAAAGAATACTAACTATGGGACTAAAGACAAACATGGACAGTCGCCTCCATTAGTTGGGCAGATGCAGGTTTCTTGTTATCTATGCTCAGAAGTGAAAGATAATGGATCTTTAGTTAATTCGACAGTTGCAGAGTTTGTCTTATATGACATTGCACGAGCAAGAAGACACTTCGTTGTCGAAGAAAGATCCAAGTGCTCTTCGGATTCCATTCAACCTGTTACAAGTAATGCTATGGGAGGCCTGGTTGCAGAGGGACCTTATGAGAGAAATAATTCAGTGGAGCACCCAGATTCTTCTAGACATGGATTTGGTAGTTCTGACTCAAGACCTTCGACTTCCTACCCCTGGACACCAAAAGATTTGCATCCGCGACATGAGATTGCGGCTATTGTAACCCAAATTCCTTTCAGCAAAAAGGATAGTCTGAAAGATATGAAAGTGTCCAGGCCAAAGGAAAGCCAAAATTTATCAAGATCTCCTACAATTGATCAGGGAAGGGAGAGAAAGAGCAGCTCGAATCCTGCAATGGTAAAGGTTGTGACTCCAAGTGGAGCTCATGGGTTGCCAGATACTGTTGAAGGTGGCCCATCTTCACTTCTAGATAGATGGAGGTTTGGTGGCGGCTGTGATTGTGGTGGCTGGGACATGGCCTGCCCAATTGTTGTATTTGACAATTCCCATGCTGACGATCGGATAGATCATTCAACATGCGAAATTGAAAAGTCCACGTTTCTTTTTGTTCAGGTGTGTGTCCCATCTTTTTGTTCTAATTTGTGATTATTTGTGTAGTATTATTTCTCTTTTTTTTTTGCAAATCCAGTTTATAATGCAAATTTGATATTGAAAGTTTTTGAGTTGATGTTATATTAGCTTAACACATCCATTTGGAGTCAATTTTTGGTATTCTTACTGTATAGTACTGCAATTTAATGGAGTATTGGTGCAGGGTAGTTGTGTGAGTCTCCTATAGAGCTTTGTATATTTTGGCAGGCATACAGACAAAGGATATTATACATGCTTGCTTTCATTTGATCAAAAAACTTAAAGAGTTAATCTTTGGCATGGTTAATTCTTTAATTCCATGGAGTTGCCTATAGCTCATGAATGCTTAGTGATTGCCTAAGTCTCCAATAGATACTTGTGTAACTTGGAAGGTCACTGTATGGGGCACACAGGAACAAAAAGGAGTTTCGACTCTGATTTTTCAACCATCATGCAATTAATCATTTCAATAATCTGATATTTTCTCTTCTGTACCAAAAGGATCATAATTCTAGATGTATCTTACATGCTTACTTGATCTCATTTTCTTGGAGGCATTATTTTAATTTGACATTGATGTATCTCGCTTGTTAACTTTTTTGATATTGACTCTGTTTCGCATTTCCAACCAGGGAAAGAAGGAAAAGTTACCTGCACTATCAATATCGGCTGATGGCAAAGGACTTTATTCAGTTGATTTCCATGCACAACTCTCAGCTCTACAGGCATTTTCGATATGCATTGCCATCCTGCATGGTTCTGAAGTTTCTTCGGCTGTTATCCAGGAGAAGATCAGACAGAGGTTTTACTCTAATTCATTAAAATTACTCCTTGAGGAAGAAGTGCGGCAGTTGATTGAAGCAGTTGCAACTGAAGAACAAATAAAAGCGAAAAAGGGAACAGAGCAGATGCCTCCCTCTTTTTTCCTAGACCCGCCCTTTTCTCCAATGGGCAGGGTTTAGAATCGAAGCACTACGTGCTGATTGAGCCGAATGATCTTAAAGCTAGATCAAGCGATGTCAGAGATAGCATGCTGGAATGTGCTTGAACATCCCAATTATTACTGGAATATAGCAGAAATCTCTAGGGGAGATTCGCCGCAAAGATAAGTTACACCAATGTTCAACTATTCATACCGACACTATGAGTTCGTGATAGCTGATGTGTGCTAGATCATGTCTGTGTTCATAATCATAAGCGAGGTAAAGGAAATGTCTTCTGTTCATAAGAGGTTTTCACTCTCTAATCTGATTGCTCACCTTTGTCAGTGACAATAAACATCGAGACGGTGCTAATACACAACTGCAATATGAGTAGCTTTCTCGTCGGTCTGGTAAGAGATCTCATGAACAAATGATGCTTTATGGTCGCCATATTTTGTAGAGATCTTCTGCTGACCACTGTGATTCAGTGAACCTCTCGAACCCCTCTCTCATCTCTGCTGGATCGGCTGTCTCAGTTCTCTACTGTTTGATCTGAAAAGGCACACGAAACAAATGCCTGTCATCAATATCTCAAAGAACGCCAGTGTCAACATGCACCATGAATGATCATTTTCTTTGGACCTCTCATTGAAAGCACATCAAGTAGTTCTGAGACCATGCCTTGTGATCCTGGATGTACCCAATGGACTCTTAATGCAAGCCATCCACTATATATAAAGAGAGAGAAATATGACATAGTCGATGCGTAGAAATCGATGACAGAGCTCGACAATACCAATCACACACTGAAGGAAAGTAAACCAGCAGCTCATCTGCCTGCATACATGCATGCATGAAAGCGTGGACTTTTAGTTCTCCTCAACGTCATCACCGTAGGCTTCCTCCTCGTCGGCGTCGGCCACGGCGTCCTGGTACTGCTGGTACTCGGAGACGAGGTCGTTCATGTTGCTCTCGGCCTCGGTGAACTCCATCTCGTCCATGCCTTCCCCGGTGTACCAGTGCAAGAAGGCCTTGCGGCGGAACATGACGGTGAACTGCTCCGACACGCGCTTGAACATCTCCTGGATGGAGGTGGAGTTGCCCATGAAGGTGGCGGACATGGAGAGGCCGGTGGGGGGGATGTCGCAGACGCTGGACTTGACGTTGTTGGGAATCCACTCCACGAAGTAGGAGGAGTTCTTGTTCTGCACCGCGATCATCTGCTCGTCCACCTCCTTGGTGCTCATCCTGCCGCGGAACATGGCGGAGGCGGTGAGGTAGCGGCCGTGGCGGGGGTCGGCAGCGCACATCATGTTCTTGGCGTCCCACATCTGCTGCGTGAGCTCGGGGATGGTGAGGGCGCGGTACTGCTGCGACCCGCGGGAGGTCAGCGGCGTGAATCCCACCATGAAGAAGTGGAGGCGGGGGAAGGGGATGAGGTTGACGGCGAGCTTGCGCAGGTCGGAGTTGAGCTGCCCCGGGAAGCGCAGGCAGCACGTCACGCCGCTCATGGTGGTGGAGATGAGGTGGTTCAGATCACCAACTGACGTCGAACAAAGAGCACTTCGTATCAGTCGACGCGAATCTCCATGTACGATCCTAAACTTGGTATCCATTAAGTTCATTTAATCGGATACGGATCCTAAACCCATACCCGTTAAACTTGGATACTTAAGCTTAACGAATTCGGACCCGACTCCTAAACGGATCCTATCCAAACCAACCCCAAAGAGATGGAAGTCACTTACAGCTGGGGTTGGTGAGCTTGAGGGTCCTGAAGCAGATGTCATAGAGGGCCTCGTTGTCGAGCACCATGCACTCGTCGGCGTTCTCCACCAGCTGGTGCACCGACAGCGTCGCGTTGTACGGCTCCACCACCGTGTCCGACACCTTGGGCGACGGGAACACCGAGAAGGTCAGCATCATCCGATCCGGGTACTCCTCCCGGATCTTGGATATCAGCAGCGTCCCCATCCCCGACCCCGTCCCTCCTCCCAGCGAGTGGCAGATCTGGAACCCTATCACCACCGCCGCCACCGTTTAGTAGATGTCATCACGTGAAGGTAAGCCTTTGAGATGTGTTGGTGTCGCTGCATACCTTGGAGGCAGTCGCAGTTCTCGGCCTCCTTGCGGACAACATCGAGGACGGCGTCGATGAGCTCGGCGCCCTCGGTGTAGTGGCCCTTGGCCCAGTTGTTGCCGGCGCCGTTCTGGCCGAAGACGAAGTTGTCGGGGCGGAAGAGCTGGCCGTAGGGCCCGGTGCGCAGCGCGTCCATGGTTCCCGGCTCCAGATCCATAAGCACGGCTCGAGGCACGTACCGGCCGCCGCTGGCCTCGTTGTAGTAGACGTTGGCCCTCTCCAGCTGCAGGGGGGAGCTGCCCACGTAGTTTCCCTTGGCGTCGATGCCGTGCTCGTCCGACACCACCTCCCAGAACTTGCCGCCGATCTGGTTGCCGCATTGCCCGGCCTGGACGTGCAGGATCTCCCTCATGGTGGCAGAATACAGAGAGAGAGAGAGAGAGAGAGAGAGAGAGAGCTTGCAAGAAGGTTTGAGGTGGCTGTGAGCTTTTTGTAGAAGTCGGCAGATGTGTTGATGAGGTGCGATATTATTGTGGAGGAAGGAACAACCGGTTGGTAAAGATGGAACACTTTGGCGGTAGATGGAGCTCGAGATGATCTCTGTGGTCTGTGCTGGGTAAAAGCAAGATGGGAGAGAAGGAAACTGGGAGCGGTGCGAGAGGGCGGTGTTGAGATGGACAAGGCAACAACAGCAAGGCAAGTGAGCTGGAAATGGAAGGAGACAAGAAGGTGCTTCGCTGTCCCGTATGGTATAACATGGACTGGTTTATGGGTGTCTTCTCTCTCAAATCATTGAGATCTGAGGTCGTCGGTCGCATGGGCATAACATGATCATTACAGAGGAAATAATGTGGTTTTGGATGCACCAGTGGGATAGCAATACATGGGAATCATTACCTGCTATATCTATTGGGTTGGGTGACTCGCCGAGTTGCTGCTTAATATGTTTTGGATCTGAAGTTGGTAATTTTTTGTTGAGAATTATAATTAGCCGAGTCTAAATCAATTTGGTCAGAGATAATAAGATACATGAGATTGGTGGTTCAGCCAATTTGAGTCATCTAAGTTTTCTTTTCCTTCTTTTCTTACTCATTCTGTGATCTTATTTGGTTGAAGAATTTTAACTAATTAAGTCTAAAATAAAATAGGTCACTAACGTTCTTCACAATCCTTCTTTCTGACACTGACTTGTACAATTAGATGAAAGATGATGAGCATCTCTCTCTCTCTCTCTCTCTCTCTCTCTCATTTTCTTGACTTATAAAATGGGATGAGTCTATTATCATTAATTTAAGATTAAACATTTTAGGTCACATGATCGAGATCTGATAAATTATAAGTCAATTATGTCATTAGGTTAGATCATGATAAATGGTAGTAGATTTAGTTTAGTCGTAAATATTTACGCTGAGAGGTTTAAGTAGAAAAGAATTATCCATGAATAATGATAGAAAATACGTCAACGATACCAAGCTATTACTAATATTTCAATTTAATTTCACATTTAAAATGAAGATTGATGGATTCTTTTCAGTAATTCATTTATCACCTGAATTTACATTGGACTTATTCATTCAGGGAAAAAAAAAAAGAAAACTGCATCTTCAGTTCGATTATGGTTCATATCCTCTGACATGAAGGTCTGATATCTTATTCGATAAATTTTTATATCTAAAATATTTTAATTTTGAAGTATCAACTAACTTATTTAATAAAGATTTTCATCATTAGTGGCAAAGTCTTAAAATCAAATCCCATTTTTATACTTTCAAAAGAAAAAAAAATCAAAAAGCAACCATTGGCACAGCAACGTAGGTTTAGGACAAATGTCAAGTTCAATAACAATCATTTCTCGGATCAAGTGTCTTAATTATGTAGAAACGAAGGCAACATTAATGAAAGCGAGTATGGAATGAGATACTGAAAAAGTTGAATTGGCTTTTTTTTTATCACGTAAAAGAGAATTATATTGGCCTCTCAAAATTCTACAAAAGGATCTTTTTAGGTTATTATTAGGTTATTATAAACAATGGATACTAAATCCATAAGAAATTTATTTATTCTAAAATATCTAAAATTTCGTTGTCTTGCTGTTGGAGAAAAATATCATTGATATTTATGTCGACGTAATCCCGATCCATATACAAGAGTTGTACATGATAGAGTGTAATTTATTTAAATTTATTTCTTGCACAAAGATCGAAGTTGAGAGTCTCCTTATGCGAGTTAAGTTTGCCCGACTCACGTGTCATGGGCGTCTCCCTAGCTTAATTTACTGCTATAGTAAGTACGGAATGGGTTTGCTCAACTCATATGTCTTAGGTTCCTTTCTGGCCTAATTTACTATCATAGCCGGCTTTTTCTTACACGAGTCATGTTTGCCTGACTCACATGTCTTAGGCGCCTCTCTAGTTCGATTTGTTATCGTGATAGGTTTCTTCTTACGTGGGTTGGGTTTGTCCGACTCATGCATCTTAAGCGCCTCCCTAGCCTGATTTGCCACCATAGTGGATTTCTTCTTATGTGGGTCGGGTTTAACCGATTCACATGTCTTGAGTGCCTCCCTAGCTTGATGTACCACTATAGCAGGTTTCTTCTTACTCAAGTCAAGTTTGTCCGACTCACATCTTGGGCGTCTCTCTGGCCTAATTTATTATCGTAGCGAGTTTCTTCTTACGCTGGATGGGTTTGCTTGACTCATGCATCTTGTTGAAATAATTTCGAGGAGGTGTTTTTACTTGGTTGCGAAAGGTGATTTCGTGGAGAGTGAAAGACTACTTTTTTATGATTGGCACCGCGTGATTATGAGTTGAATATAATCAGAATATCATAAGGTAATTCGGGTTAGTTATGAATCGGTTCCCATATGAAATATTCATATGAATATTCTCAAATGACTAGAAGGCAGTTCGAGTCGGTCACGAATTGCTTTTCTTATAGGATTTTTATGAGATATTCTTCCTCCTCGAAGTTAGTATAAAAATACGTCCTTAGCTTTAGAATATAGGAAAAAAAAAAGGGATGAAACTTGGTACTAACTTAAGAATCGAAAGCATCGACCGTAGAGACCCTTAGATCTCGATCTTTGTGCAGAAAATGAGTACGGAGAAACTACACTGTATCCCGGACAATTCCTCGTAGTATACATATCAAGATTATGTCGTGATGACGTAGATATCAATGATATTTTTTTTAATATTTTTTTAAAAAATATATTAATTGACTACAATGATTACATTCGGCTAACAGTCCACGACAATATGAGAATCCATATATAAGATTACATTCCCAAAGCCATTTTGCAATGCAAGCAAAGTTTCGTATTTCACCCTCTTGCATCATGATCTTAGGATGCCATATATCCACTGCCGTGTCAGAATGGGGGATGCAAAAGAGGTCAGTCCTGTATGTGCTAGTACTGAAGACAGCTGAAAGGAAGAAGACGACAGGAATGCGTGCAGTGTTCTCGTACCGTCTTCTGGTGTGCTGATCCATCTCTCTCGCTCTCTCTCTCTTACTGTCTTCTGATGTGCTGATCCATCCAACACAAATTAAGCTTATGAAAGGTATAACTCTCTTGATCTGCACCACTAATTCTTGGGACAAATGCAGCTATCAATGTGTGGACTTCCTACCACGAGAATGAGAGGTATACCTCTTGTGACGTGTTACGTCCACGACGTAGTCGTATACATGTATTGGAATCCATCTTTGCATGAGTAGAAGTCAACATTTGATTGATTAGTGCATGATAAGTCTCAAGTTCATGAGCCTCTTTTGCATCCATTTAATTTAATCAAATTTTTATTTTTTTTTCAAAAAAATAAAAGACACAGAAAGAGAATGATTTTTGTTAGAAGAAACGAAGATATAAATATGAAGAAAAAGAGAATCATAAAATCTTTAAATAAAGTCCTTGAAATTAAATGTATTAAACTTAAAAACATGCAATAAACACAACCGTCAAAACAATTAAATTGAAATGAGATTTAACGATTAGAGAAAAAGAATATGTACCCAATGATCAATGTATAATTAGTTCGAAAACAGAATTCGAGTTCTCCATCAATGCCTTCATGCGCATCCTTCCTCCACAGCAATGAAAATAGTTACAATTCGTTTATCCATATGAACGACATCTTTACTTGTGCAATCACAATTTTGATGTAGAAATTTACATGAACAATTTCAATTGACCACAACTTCGCTCATCCGAAGAGCGTCTAATTTTTTGGGTCTCTTATAGTTCTTCAATAAGAGAGAGCAGCAAACTACGCTAACTGAAGAAGCTGCCATTGCAGCACCGGCAATCCATGGAGGCAACCGGAATCTGGTGAATGGGAAAAGAACTCCGGCAGCGATTGGTATGCCGATGATATTATAACCAAGTGCCCAAATATAATTCATACGGATCCGATTGAAAGTTTTCCGGGAGAGATCAATGGCAGTTATTACATCCTCCAAGTTGCTCTTCATAAGAACAATATCAGCAGCTTCAATTGCGATGTCTGTGCCAGCGCCTATGGCCATTCCCACATCGGCAGACACCAGTGCAGGTGAGTCATTAATTCCATCTCCAACCATTGCCACAACTAAGCCAGACATCTAAAAGAAAAGAGAGAGAGAGAGAGAGAGAGAATATTATCAGTATAATCATGCTGGATATTGGAAAAGTCTATGCATCGAATCTTAGCCCCGTAACTGGAGAGATTCAAAAAAAAAATACTGTTCCAGACAGGTGAAGAATCTCAATAGAATAGTCACAGTAGATTCATAATATGCTAACTTTTGTTTGTTTGGAAATGGCAACACTCCTGTGTTGTACATATATGCAAGCATAAAAAATAAAAGTCAAACACTATGAATGACATGGAAAAGTACCTGAAGTTCCTTAACTTTCTCGGCTTTTTGATCTGGCTTTGCTTCTGCAATAACAGTGTCTATCCCAACCTCCTGTGCAATTGCATTTGCAGTACCCCAGTTGTCTCCGGTTACCATAATGCTTTTCACTTTCATGGACTTCAGAAGGGATATAACATCTGGAGCACCAGGTTTCAGCGGATCAGATATTGCGATTATTCCGGTAAGTTCTTGATTGATTGAGACAATTATTCCAGTTTGTGCCATTCCCTCAGTTTCTGCAAGAATCTCAGAGGCTTCAACGGGGATACGGATGCCTAATTCCACCATCAATCTCTTGTTGCCCACAACAATTTCTTTGTTTGCAACCGAGGCTTTGACACCATGGCCTGCAATGGCAGTAAAATCTCGTGCTTCAGGCCAAATATGATTTTCTTCATCTGTGCTGAAATTTTTTGCATATTGAACTATAGCTTTTGCCAATGGATGCTCACTGTTAACCTGCCAAGGATAGGCATCAAATGAATCGGCCATCGAACAGGGGATGCATTAAAAGGATTGATTGTGCAAACTAGTAACTCAAAGTAAATGACTCTGCGTATTGGAGATATATTGCTCAAACAGCCCACAGAAATCCAGCAGCAACTGACTGCCTAGATTCTAGCTTTTGTAGAATTGGTTCTTGATGTAACACTTCAGCTTGTTCTTTTAGGACAACCTCAGATCTTGTCTACATTATGTCTCGATGATCCTAATGTTTGTCAGAGTCCAGTCAAACTGAGGGGTATGTTTGTATGGCATTCTGATGGATTCAGCATTTAGTTGGATTA